CCGCCACCTTAGGTGTACGTGGCTGGCGCCTTAGCCAGTTGAGCTATAGGCGCCGAGCCCAGCCAAAGAATCTTTAAACCTATCTACAATTTTACAGAATCCTGCTTTGAGATGTTCCACCTTTTAGGTCAAATCGATGTATACCTTCCACATATTGATTTATTACTTTTACCTGTAATTCCTGTCTCCCTGAAATTTATAAAACCAAACTGTAACCCCCCACAACGAGTCCATTTGCTCAGGACTTTTTGGGTGTGACTCTGGGTCATGGTCCTCAAATTTGGCTCAGAATAAACCTTTTAAATTATTTTAGAGTGTGGCTTCTTTTCCTTAAACATCTCCATAACTTCTCTATCCTCATCAGCATTTCTTCTCCCTCTTTTAGTGGTTTCCCATGACCCCCACAATGGTTTTTGCATTTTCTTTTCCCTCTGCCTGGAAGGTTCCTTACCCTTGTATCTATGAACAGAACTCACTTCCTCACCTCTCAGGTCTTCTAATCACCTTCTCAGTAAAACCCTCCAATTCAATTAAAGTTTCAAATTACTTTTCCCGCAGATGCCCTAAACACCCTTCCTGGGTTTATTTTTCTCCACAAATAAGAGAAGGGAGTTCGGCACATACTAGTGAGCAGCCTACTTCAGTGGAGTAAGCGGACGTATTCGAGACCAAAGAGGGAAACACTTAAGTCCCGAGAGGCTTCGGAGAAGTTTAAGTCCACCCGCTCACCCTGCTTAAACGAGCCCAGACCGCTCTACAACCAGCCACGCCCATGTAGGCGGGGCCGAGGCCGGAAGCAGCCTTGGGCGGAAGCCCGGCGGGCCTCCTGGGCCCTCCTCCCGACCTGCCCCTGGCGCCCCGCCCACCCGAAAGTGGGTGAAAGGTCGGCGGCGCCGGCACTGCTGCTGGGGCTGCGGAGCTAAGACCGCCAGCGAACTGACAAACTGACTGACAGACGGACTGATCATGGCAGACCAGCCTAAGCGCATCAGCCCGCTCAAGAACCTGCTTGCCGGTGGCTTTGGCGGAGTGTGCCTGGTGTTCGTGGGCCACCCTCTGGACACGGTCAAGGTGCGAGGAGGCGGGGGAGTGAGCTTGGGGAGGAGGCCCGGGCAGGGCGTGGAAAGCAGGACAATCCACGAGATATGTCCCTGGGACAGAAGTGGGGCTTATGTGAACTTCCGTGAGACGTCTTAGGGAATCTCTTTCAAGGGTCAAGGGGAGCAGTTGTGCCTTGTGCCCCAAAGAACCAGATGGCACAAAGTGAACAGCCTCTAACCTATGATTTAAATTCTCCGTCCAGCAGTCTCTCCTGACCCTGCACCACTTCTCTGGGCATGCGAAAGAAAAAGCGTTTCCCCAAAGCTCTGATTTTTGCTAACCTTAACATTATCATCAAGGTTCAAACAGATGCCCTGTAAAGCCCATCCCAGGAAGACAGCTAAAGATAAACGTAAGGTTATGCTGGAGAAGTCATTTGACCACTCCCTTGGGGCCAGAGTGCTCCATCACCATCTCTTATCTTTCTGGGACCCAAAGAGACTTGACCTTAGCCATCTTCAGCCTGTCACACTAAGGCAGCCTGCATAGCCTCCTGGGAAAGGCATCCCTGTGAGAAGCAATGCTGTCCTCAGTGATTGAGCCCCTTCCAAGTGAACAGCTTTGCCCAAGGCCAGGTGGATTCTTACAACTCCTATGGTCAAACTGAGGGCCTTGGAGAAATGAAAGTCTTCAGGGCTTGCGCCCTGGGCTTCCTTATGTCACACCTCCACTCTTTCCCTTCCAATACTGCTTGGACACTAAAAGTCTATGCCCTGTGATTTAGCATTTGAAGCGTCATTCTAGTTTTCTTTCTTTCTTTCTTTTTGAGACAGAATCTCACTTTGTTGACTTCAGTAGAGTGCAGTGATGTCACAGCTTGCAGCAACCTCAAACTCTTGGGCTTAAGTGATTCTCTGGCCTCGGCCTCCTAAGTAGTCCTCGCCTGGGACTATAGGCGCCTGTCACAACACCTGGCTATTTTTTTTTTTTTTTGAGACAAGAGTCTCACTATGTTGCCCTTGGTAGAGTGCCGTGGCTTCAGCTCACAGCAATCTCCAACTCTTGGGCTTAAGCTTTCTTTTGCCTCAGCCTCCCCCCCAAAAATAAGAGAGAGAAGCTTTCCTAAGGTAGAGTTCATACCGGGGTCATTCTATAGCAAGATCAGGATTAAAGCAGCTAGGCTGGCCTCTTACTGTTGGTCCACACCGGCAGAGATCTTGTTGGTTCTAGGCATTTGAGGCTTCTCTTTGTTATTTATTTATTTATTTATTTTTAGAGATAGAATCTCACTTATCGCCCTTGGTAGAGTGCTGTGGCATCACAGCTCATAGTAACCTCCAACTCCTGGGCTTAGGCCATTCTCTTGCCTTAGCCTCCTGAGTAGCAGGGAATACAGGCACCCGCCAGAACCCCCAGCTATTTTTTTGTTGCAGCTTGGCTGGGGCTGGGATCGAACCCACTACCCTTGGTATATGGGGCTGGCACCCTACCCACTGAGCCATAGGCACTGCCCTTGAGGCTTCTCTTTAAAAAAAACTGAAACCGGCTTGGCGCCTGTGGCTCGGACGGCTGGGGCGCCAGCCACATACACCTAGGGTGGCAGGTTTGAATCCCCAGCCCGGGCCTGCCAGGCAACAATGATGGCTGCAACCAAAAAAAAGATGGCCGGGCGTTGTGGTGGGCGCCTGTGGTCCCAGCTGCTTGGGAGGCTGAGGCAGGAGACTCACTTGAGCCCGGGAGTTGGAGGTTGCTGTGAGACATGGTGCCATGGCACTTACCCAGGGGGATGGCTTGAGGCGCCGTCTCAAAAAAAAAAAAAAAACTGAAACCTGGGACTTGGTGCACGTGGCTTAAGCGGCTAAGGCACCAGCCACATACATCTGAGCTGGCGGGTTTGGATCCAGCCCGGCCCGCCAAACAACAATGACAGCTGCAACTGAAAAGTAGCTGGATCGCGTTTGTGGTGGGTGCCTATAGTCCCAGCTACTTGGGAGGCGGAGGCAGGAGAATCACTTGAGCCCAGGAGTTGGAGGTTACTGTGAACTGTGATGCCAAAGCATTCTACCCAGGGCTACAGCTTGAGGCTCTGTCTCAAAAAAAAAAAAAAAAAAAAAGGCTCGGTACCTGTGGCACAGTGGTTATGGCGTCAGCTAAAGCAACAATGACAACTGCAACAACAACAACAAAAACAAATAAAAATAGCAGGCCTGTGGCAACACCTGTAGTCCCAGCTAGTCCAGAGGCTGAGGCAAGAGAATCACTTAAGTAAGCCCAAGAGTTTGAGGTTGTTGTGAGCTGTAATGCCACGGCACTCTACTGAGGGTGACATAGTGAGACTGTCTCAAAAAAAAAAAAAGAAAAAAAGAAAAGAAAAAAGAAAACTAATACCTTTATTTGTTGCCATATATAAGTGTTGCTTCTACCTTCATATCTTCTTATCTTTAGTGTCACTCCTTTTTTTTTTTTTCTTTTTTAAGCCAGAGTCCCACTCTATGCTCTGAGGAGAGTGCAATGGTGTCATAGCTCACTGCAACCTCAGACCCAGGCTGTGGGCATCCTGCTGCCTTAGCCTCTGGAAGTCGCTGGGATTACAGGTGCTCGCCTTGGTGCCCAGCTGTGTTATTTGCTTATTTATTTATTTTTTTATTTTGAGACAGAGTTTCACTATGTTACCTTTGGTATTAGTCAGAAATTTTGATCCATTTCTCTTTCTTTACTAATTAGAGGAAGTTGTCCCTGACCATGGAGGATCTGAAGGTCAATATAAGGGATTTTGGAAGTTAAGCAGTGGTAGCCATTGGGCATTTCTTTTTTCTTTTTCTTTTTTTGAGGCAGAATCTCACTTGGTCACCCTTAGTACAGTGCCGTGGCATCTAAGCTCACAGCAACTTCAAACTCTTGGGTTCAAGTGATCTTGCCTCAGCCTCCCAAGTAGCTGAGACTATAGGTGCCTGCCACAACACCCGGCTATTTTTTAAAGAGGAGCTCTTGCTCTGGCTCAAGGTAGTCTGGAACCTGTGAGCTCAGGCAATCCACCCACCTGGCCTCCCAAGTTCTGGGATTACTGGTGTGAGCCACCTCACCTGGCCACTGTGTCTGGGCATTCTATTGTATCCCTTAAACCTCTCAGATGGGCATGTCACATTTGTTTAGAGACTTACTTCCTTGGCATTGCATATAAGTTCCTAACAAATACAAGAATGAAATACCTGTAATACCAACACTTTAGGAAGGTGGATCAGTTTTTTTTTTTTTTTGAGTCAGGAGCCTCAAGCTGTCCCCCTGGGTAGAGCGCCGTGGCATCACAGCTCACAGCAACCTCCAACTCCTGGGCTCAAGCAAGTCTCGTGCCTCAGCCTCCCGAGTAGCTGAGACCACAGGCGCCCGCCACAACGCCCAGCTATTTTTTGGTTGCAGCCGTCATTGTTGTTTGGTGGGCCCGGGCTGGATTCAAACCTGCCACCTTGGGTGTATGTGGCTGGCGCCTTAGCCACTTGAGCCACAGGTGCCAAGCCTTGTTTTGTTTCTGAGACAGAGTCTCACTCTTTTGCCCTTCGTAGAGTGCTGTGACATCATCAGAGCTGATAGCAATCTCAAACTCTGGGGCTCAAAGGATCCTCCTGCCTCAGCCTCCCAAGTAGCTGGGACTACCAGGCACCTATTGCAACGCCTGGCTATTTTATTTTTTTGTTGTTGTTGTTTGGCAGGCCCGGGCCAGGCTCCAAACTGCCAGCCCCAGTTTATGTGGCTAGCACCCTAGCCTCTGAGCTATAGGCCCTGGGATTATAGCGCCCAGCCTATGATAGGCAGAGTTGTTTTTTTTT